TTTAGACATCCTGGTTCCCAGAACTTCCCTTATATTTTATGCACTAGCTTTAAATCATGATCATTTGGAAGACGATTTATTTTGTCCTGTGGATGTGTAAAATGGTTTTAAAATTTGCATTTCCATATGGATGGCAAATAGGGGCAGGAAAAAAATGGCCCCTCCCTAACCCATGGGGTAATGATTTGTACAAACTTGAATCTACACTTCTTGGGAATGTTTCCATATTAATCATGCTTTTGTTGTTCTTAAAAAGAAGAATTTTGAAGATTTTTTTTCCTTTTAAATCTCTATAAAACTTTGATCCCTTATAGTGGCCTGACCCTATCCTCGGAGGTCATGATTTGAAAACTAGAAATATGTCCGTAGAACATGAATGCCCCGCCGAATGTATATTACTAATGCAACATGAAAATTTGTATGAGTGTATGAAGTTTGATGAGAATATCTTGAACAGTTTCTTTAAAATTGAAACTAAAATCTAAAAAAAAAAATGGATATAGATGATAAATTCTCACAAAATTATATATAAGTGCATGCTTACATAAAAATATCTGAGATTGTTTCTTTAAAACTAAGCAAAATACAAATTAAAGAGAAGGGAGGTCAAGGTCACAGGAAAGTGCAAGATGACAAGTTTTTGATGCAGTTGAATAGCTCTCACTAATACATATCAGCTTATTAGGTTTGATAAAAATATCTTGAATGATTTATTTAAAACTGAGCTTAACACTTATTTGAGAAAAGAGAGGTCAAGGTCAAAGGAAAGGTTGAGGTCAAAATGCTGATGCAGTTGAAAAGCTTAAATCAGTATGTATTTACTATTAGCATAGAAGTTCAATAAAAATATCAGAAATGGTTTATTTAAAACGTAGATAAACACTAATTTAAAAAAGTGAGGTCAAGGTCAATGGAAAAGTCAAGGCCAAAAAAGTTGATGCAATTGATATCTCTCAGAAGTAAATGTCAGCATGTGAAGTTTGATAAATATATCTTGAATTGTTTATTCAAAACTGGTCTAGACACTAATTTAAGAAAAGTAAGGTCAAGGTCAAAGGAAAAGTGAAGGTAAAAAATTTTGATGCAGTTGAAAAGCTTACATCAGTATGTATCAGCATATGACGTTTTATTGAAGTCGGACATGACAAACACTATATGCCTAGGCCATATTCATGGCAGGGCATAAAACACTTGAATCTACACTATATGAGGATGTTTCCATATCAAAATGACTAACAAGCAAATTCAAAGAATTGTGGTCCCCTGCTTTCCGTGTCCTAGTGGATGAGATGCCATTATTTATGACATATTGTTTCAAATATGCAGGCCTTATCATATGTCATTCAAAAGTAATCACCAAAGTTAAAATTTTTGAAAATTAGGTAAAAAACATCAAGGTCAAGGGGTAAAAAAATCATAGCATGCTTGGAAACATCTTGTTACAGGTAATGTACATGTCAAATATAAAAGTCCTATCTCTTCTCAATCAAATGTTACAAGGAAATATAACATTTTTGAAAAGTAGGTTAAACTTCAAGGTCAATGTCACAGAGTCAAAAGTCATGATATATTTAGAAAGGTCTTGTCACAGGTAATATACATGTATAATATGAATGCCCTATCTTTTCTCTTTCAAAATGATCATTTAAAATAATGTTAAATTTTTTGAAAAGTAGGTCAAACTTCAAGGTCAAGGTCATGGGTTCAAGAATCATGGTATGTTTAGAAAGTTCTTGTAGGTAATGTACATGTGAAATATGAAAGCCCTATCTCTTATTATTCAGAAGTTATGACCAAGGTTAAATTTATTGTGACAGACTGACAGACTGACTGACAAATGGACAGACTGACAGACAAATGATATTTAATGTCCCCTAGGTCCCTTTTGTGAAAACGGACGACAATAATGCCCTTACTCTTCATGAGAACAAGATTTATGATGGAAAAAATCCCCTGCATTTTTCTATGTAAATCATTGGATCCCCATATGTGGCCCCACCCTACCCCAGTGGGTCATAATTTTAACAAATTTGAAGCTACACTGTCTATGTAAAGAAAGCTTCAACTTTTTGGGCCCAGTCAGTGGTTCTTGATAAGACTTTTTTAAAATGATACCACCAAATTTTCACTAATTCTTGATTATCCCCCCTTGAAAGAGGGTGTGACCCTTCACTTGAACAAACTTGAATCCCCTTTACCCAAAGACGCTTTGTGGCAGGGTTGGTTGAAATTGGCCCAGCGGTTCTAGTGAAGAAGACAAAAATGTGAAAAGTTTACAGGCGGACAGATGGATTACAAACAAAATGTGATCAGAAAACCAGAAAAACTCAAGTGAGCTAAAAACTGATGATCACAAGCACTTGGAAAGAGTTACAGTATTTGAAAAGCAGTTTTTTTTTTCATGCATTGTTTTCAGAAGATGAAAAGGTATGACTTGTGTCCATGTTGAAAAAACTTCACATTTCAGAAAACAGTATGATTAAAAATAGTTAATCAAGGTGCTTTGAGTAGCTAAATATGCTAAACTGGTATAGCTAATTCAACCACAGAGCTTAGTGAATTTTAAAATGCACAACCTTTTCAACTCTTAATCATTCTTAAAATATTTATATCATCATTTCTGATTCAAGGGAGAACTAGAGATATGATCAGAAGTATATCTGTTGACTAATAAACATGTACATGTATATTGTGTTTTTAAGTGATTTGTTTGTTTGTTGTTAAATGTCCCTCTTGGGAATTTTTCACTCATACGGAGACACCACCACTTACAAGTAATGAAGACGTACAAGTCGGATTTGAGGTTAACATTCATTTTAGGAATTTTCAACAATTAAGACGTAAACAGATAACTCCTTCCCCTTGCCCCTTCCCCTTCCCAGACCCCTGTTTGTTCATGTATGCAAACTAGTCTAATACTTTGGTTTGACATAAAAAAAAAGTGAATATATACAAATAGTTTAATGGTTCATCTCTTTGAATGATTTTCATTCCTAATTCTAGGAGGGTACATGGGTTGACCCAAATTCATGAATGAAATGTCAAGTAATCTTATCATTGATGCACTTTTATTTAATTTGATGTAGTCATATTATGAACATTTCCAGTTCATTAAGAGAGTGGGGAGGACCTCCATGGGGTTCATAACCTTAAACCATAAGATGTACATAACATAATAACACAAGAAACAAAATTATGTATAGTCAAATGGAAAAGTTTTCTACTATTTAGGAGTCACATGATCATTTGTCATTTCAGGGACAGGGAGCGGCTAGGGAGATTGGACCCCCCCCCCCCTGAAATTTGCAGTTATTTAAATAGGACTATATACTGATTTACAGAAGCAAATAAAAATGACTTTGGATGGCCTCCCCCTTTAAAAACATGGACCCCACCATCATTGTTTTTATTTTGTTTGTTTGTTTTTTTTTTTTTGCTCCTCAGGAAATTCTGGGCTGGAATTTTTTTGGACCGAGGTATGGACCCCCCCCCCCCCCGAAAAAAATTCCCGGATCTGTGCCTATAACTGAATGTAATGTCGACAACGGGAAATAACTCTTCAGAATGTGAGATTCGTCTATTGTGGCATCCGATGATCCACTCCCTACCATCGGCTCATACATTCAGTGTCTGAGAGAGAAACGAACGACAACTCTGCATAGGAGATTGCTGATAATCTTTGATCCTTTTTAAACTTTAACCTAACCATTTGCATTTCGGTTTATTTTACCCCAATCTATACTTAAACTTGTACTTATCCACTGTCATAGGTCCTGTCAACTTCATGAAATATAATCCAATTAAAACACAAATATGAATTAATTTCCACTGATATACATGTAACACTGCACAATGTCACATGGCATGTGCAATCTAAAAATGATAATGGTAAAACTAGTACTAGTACTCGTAGGGTGACACAAGCCCAGTGAGATGTAGAAATTTTCAAAAAGGTGTTCACATACATGTACAGTACAAGAACAAATTTTAAATTATCATAACAAACGATGTTTTAACATAACTTTGCCATCTAGGCCTATTTCTAAAAACAGGCAAATTGTGTGTGTGTGTTGGGGGGGGGGGGGTGACAAAATTGATTGGGTATGGCTTTTAGAGGAGGTTTTTGCCTAATCAAATACTAAAATAAGTTTGCACATTTTGATAAATTCATCAAAAACCATTTGTACTAAAATAATATCATTTGTTGTTGAGAAAATAAATTTAAAAAGTTCCAATTATGGGCCAAAAATTTATATCCCCCTCCCCCTTTTATCAAAACCTAATTTACATTATTAATTAAATTCTGTTATTTCAGACTGGTAATGAATTAAGTATATGAAATGCGTATAAGAGGTTCATGGGTCACATGGTCACCTGAGCATTTTATGCTCGATTTGACGAATACATGTACTGTGTAAATTATAGAATTATTTGGACTTTTTCCTTGGTAAGCCCAATATGAAGGAGTGTGCATTTAGAGGCAAACACCTTAGTGCGGGTATTACTGTCTCATGACAGCATCAAGTTTTTCATTGTAAATAACATTTTGTATGATCATTTGAGTGAGTGTGCGTGTGTGTGATTGTGTGATTTATTAGTTTAATTTTGTTTTTTGTTTTTTGTAAATAAATTCTTGTTTTTCCTTGAAGAAAGTCTTAGTTTTGATTTGAAAAGCTAGCCTAGCTCATTCCACGTTACAAATTTGGTGGCAGCAGTGGGATGACAGACTCTCTTTTTAAATCAAACTAGAATTCTTCAATGGTGAAGGTTTGCCGAGATTAATTTTGATTTATATCTTTCATTATCATAGTTAGCGTTGCGTAGAGTTGAGTAGCTATTCCAAGGACAACATTTATGCAGATCAGCTTTGGTAAGTGAAGACATGGCTCTCCCTTAGACTATTTAATTGAAGGTAAGCTGAATAAGATCTTTGATAAGTAGTGAGATTATTACTTCCTTGGACTTCAATTGGTAAGTTGGTTCAGTTCAGTCATTCCATCATGTCTACTGTGAAGGAAATGCAAGAATTACTGGAACTTGGAACTCAGATGGGATTAAAAGAAGAGGCTCTACAAAAATTTGTGAAGGAGGAACAATCCAGACTTCGAGATGAACGAGAACGACAAAGAAAAGAAAGAAAGTCGAAAGAGGAACGTGAATTTCAACTTCAGATGGAAAGAGAACTTACAGAAAGAGAACGTGAGGAACGTGAACACATTCGACAGATGGAAGAGCAAAAAGAACTCTTTGATGATTCCGAACACAAACGCAAGATCGTGGAAATGGAACTTGATCATAAATTCCAATTACTAGCAACTGAAAGATCTCACAAAGTACTGGACTCCTCATCGCACGGCACAGAGATGCACCAACCAATAAAAGGACCAAAACTTCCTGCGTTTGATGATTCGAAGGATAATATTGACGCTTACATTCAACGTTTTGAAATTTATGCGACATCACAGAAATGGCTCAGGGATAACTGGGAAGCTCATCTTAGTGCCCTTCTCAAAGGAAAAGCTTTGGATGTATTTTCGAGACTTCCTCCAGAATCTGCTATTGACTTTGATGAACTGAAAAAGGCTCTTCTTAAACGCTTTGATATGACGGAAGATGGGTTTCGCAAGAAGTTTAGATCGTCAAAGCCGGATGGAAGTGAATTTTTTATGCAATTCTCGGTGAGACTGGACAGTTATCTTGAATGATGGATTGAGCTTTCAAAGACAACGAAAACTTACGAAGGACTTAAGGATTTATTCTTGCGGGAGCAATTTATATTGTGTTGTTCAAAGGAGTTAGCCTTATTCTTGAAAGAGAGAATTCCCCCTAGCATTCAGGAGATGGCACCTTTCGCGGATCAATTTGCGGAGGCAAGAAACATTACATCTTCGTCCAGTACACAAAGACTTGTATCCGACAGAAAAATCCAAGCTGACAAACAATTTCATTCCATGGACAGAGTGGTTCAATCGAAATCCAATTCAGGAGGAAAGTGTTTCGTATGTGGCAAAGTTGGACATAAATCCTTTGACTGTGTTCATCGGAAGTTTCCTTCTAACAAGATAGTTAGTGCTACAGAGAAACAAGAGACTGTTCCAAAACAATATCAGTTCAGTGATCCAAAAAGTGGGACTTTCCATGGGCGCAATATTGGATACTACGGACGTGGTGGAGGACGTCAAGATACATCAGCTGTACTTAGAGATGAAACATTACCTAGTGTTGGTGACTCAGTCGCAATAAGTGAAATCGTGATGCCAAGCGTGAAAGGTTGTGTGGGTGACAAACTAATAACTGTACTACGAGATACTGGATGTAGCGGTGTTGTGATAAGGAAGGACTTAGTGGGAGAGGATCATTTTACAGGCAAAACACAAAAGTGCAAGTTAGCCGATGGACGTGTTATAGAAGCCCAAGTCGCAACAGTAGAAGTGGATACTCCTTACTTTACAGGGAATGTTGACGCTTGGTGTTTCGACTGTCCCTCATCATATGACCTTATTCTTGGAAATATTCAAGGAGTTAGGAAGCCACATGAACCAAATATGGCGTGGATTCATTCAACAGAAAGCACATCAGCAGTTGAAACTCGTGGTCAGCTAAATAAGAAAAAGTCATCATATAAACCTTTAAAAGTCCCAAGTGCCATACAAGATGTATCACCAGAGGAATTACAAAAGGAACAAAGAGACGATAAGACACTAAAGAAACTAAAGGAAATGGCGGATAAGGGAACAGTAAAACAATTCAGTGATGGAGGTTCTTCAAAAATGTACTACAGAAAAGAACTATTGTACAGAGAGTTTAACAGTCCTATAGTTTCCATTGGAAAAGTTTTTCGACAGCTCATCACACCCAAACAGTATCGAGACATGGTGAGGAAGCTAGCACATGAATCGATAATGGCCGGACACCTAGGAGTAAAGAAAACAACTGATAGAATCATGGTAGAGTTTTATTGGCCAGGGATCCAAGCAGATATCGGTAGATTCTGTAAATCATGTGACGTTTGCCAAAGAACTATTCCCAAGGGTAAATTTCCTGCAGTACCATTAGGACAAATGCCACTTATTCCTGAGCCGTTTCAACGAGTTGCAGTTGACATCATAGGACCTCTCCAGCCAATTGCTGTTAGGGGTAATAGATATATCCTAACCGTGGTTGACTACGCAACCCGATACCCAGAGGCGATCGCACTTCCTGGAATAGAAACTGAGCGTGTAGCAGAGGCACTGGTTGACATCTTTAGTAGAGTGGGTGTTCCTACTGAGATGCTATCGGATCAAGGAACTCAGTTTACGTCCGAGGTAATAAAAGAAGTGAGTCGACTTTTGTCCTTTAAGCGAATCACGACCACCCCATACAATCCAATGTGCAACGGACTCATGGAAAAGTTTAATGGAACACTAAAACAGATGCTCAAAAGGATGTGTGCAGAAAGGCCCAAGGACTGGGATAAATATCTATATCCATTACTTTTCGCATATCGTGAAGTACCGCAGGAGAGTCTCGGATTTTCTCCATTTGATCTTTTGTATCCACACTCTGTTCGAGGACCAATGATGATTGTTAAGGAGTTATTAACCAAAGAGATTCCAAATGAAGAAGTCAAAACTACATATCAATATGTTCTTGATCTGAGAGAAAGACTTGAAGAAACATGCAAGATCGCCCATGAACATCTAGAAAATGCTAGGAAACGTCAGTGCAAATATTACAACAAGAAAACAAGCAATCGTCAAATGAAAGAAGGAGATAAAGTGCTAGTCCTCCTACCAACGAAGTCTACAAACTTTTCATGCAGTGGAAAGGACCTTATAGTGTCATACGGAAGATAGGACCTATGGACTACAAGGTTGGCCTAGGAGGCAAGACCAAAACGTACCACTCAAATTTGTTGAAAAAATATGTCGAGAGAGATGAGTCGAAAGTTGAAAGTTTAACAGCATGTGCAGTTTCTCTCATAGACTTCAGTGATGAAGACAACAACGAAGCACAGGATTCAATTTTGCTGCCTTCAGGTGTTCATACTGAATCAGTGAAAGACATTCATTTGCAGAACGCTTTACGCCAGAACAGCAACAGACCGTCGAGTCGTTATGTGAACAATTTAATGAAGTTTTTACGGACATACCTGGTACCACAAACTTGGTGAAGCATAAGATAGAATTGACGTCGGCGGAGCCAGTGAGAGTGAAACAATATCCTATCTCATTCAGCACAGAAAATGTCATTAGAGAAGAAGTAGAAATGATGCTACAGTTGGAGGTTATTGAACATTCTTCTTACCTGTACTCAGCACCAGTTGTAATTGCAAGGAAAAAAGACGGAACAAATCGATTTTGCATTGACTTCCGGAAACTTAACAACATCACAGTCTTCGATGCAGAGCCAATAACTAATCCAGACAGCATATTTTCCTAGCTAACAGGAAAGAAGTTTGTCTCTAAAATTGACTTAAGCAAAGGATATTGGCAGGTACAAATGGAAGAGGATAGCAAACCATTGACTGCATTTTCCACACCCGCTGGTTTGTACCAATTCAGAAAGATGCCATTTGGGTTAGTGAACGCCCCAGCAACCTTCAGTAGACTGATGCGCAATCTTCTTCATGGCATGGAAAATGTGGAAAATTTCATAGATGACATCCTGGTATTTACTGATACATTTGCCGAACATCTAAACACGCTGAAAGTATTGTTCACCCGACTGAGAGATGCAGGCCTTACAGCAAGACCTACCAAATGTTTTATTGGATTTGATCAGATTGATTGCTTAGGTTATCTCGTGAATGATCAACGACTGAACCCAGAAGACGACAAGCTTGAAGCAATCAAGAATGCTCCAATACCACAAACGAAAAAACAAGTCCTTTCTTTTCTAGGCTTAGCTGGATTTTACAGGAAGTTTATTCCTAACTTTTCAGCAAAAGCTATACCGTTGTCTGACCTTACAAAGAAAGGTAAGCCTAACAGAGTTCAATGGACGGGATGTTAACAAAGAGCGTTTGATACTCTGAAACAGTTGTTATGTTTTAGACCTATTCTGAAGCTACCTGACATCCAGCAGTCATTTATTCAACGTACTGACGCTGCAGACGAAGAAATAGGAGCAGTTCTACTTCAAATGGAAGGTGATGAAAAATTCCCCGTGGCATACGCTAGCAGAAAACTACAGGAGAGGGAGAAAAAGAATGCCTGGCAGTGGTCTGGGGAATCCAGAAATTTAATCAGTATCTGTATGGAAAAGACTTTGTGCTAGAAACGGATCATCAACCTTTAATGTACTTGAACAAGGCAAAATCAGAAAACTCAAGATTGATGCGTTGGGCATTACAGCTACAGCCGTGTCGTTTCAGAATCGTAGCAATAAAAGGAAGTGAGAACATGGGAGCAGACTATCTAAGTCGGCAGTAGACGACAGTAGTAGACAATTCAAGGTATGTATATAGATTACTGTAGATATGTTCAGAATTTTAAAAATTTTGTCTTACACGAAATGATTGTTCCGGGTAAATTGTATGACAATTTTCTTTTAGGAGGGAGGTGTGTAACAATCAGTAGACTAGTTTAACCCTTTGGGTACCCCTTGTATTTTTTGCAAGTATTACCCTTCAAACACCCCTTTATTAGCTCCCAGAATTCTTTGCAAAACTTTGGCCGACAGGTAACAATAGCTTATAGGTCATTCCCGGCAGAGCTGTCCAGTGTGCAAGACACAGAGTTATGGGACAGGATAAATTTGATTAAGTTTTGCACCAGCATGTGCCTGAAACTTACAGCAGGTTTACTTTAACCATATTGTACTTTTCTGCACGGAAAACAGACCGTGGTGAGTATATTTTACAGTATTTTAGCTATGTTTAATGTCCTTTTAACATTCGTTCTATAAATTCACTTTGGCAGGCTTTCATAAGTGAGTTACCTGTGTGTGCGTTCAGGTGTGACGTTAGCGAGAGTGTTTAAATAGGTTATCTTGTCAGAAGTTTTAGCGCTGTTAGAGGTTAGAGAAATTCTAAACATTTAAAGAACAGCCTGTTTCTTTATTTTATTGTAATTTTGTTGGCTGTATTACCTTTCATTTAAATATCTGAGCGGAAGCGAGTGACCGGAAGTATTGTCAGCCATTTTGTTTCTATATCAACTGTAAACAAACTGATTATATTGAAAATATCTTAGAGGTTATGTTATATTGAACTCAAACACGAATTAATAGTTATTGATTAAAGCCAGTATAATTGTATATTGCAAGCCAGTATAATTGGCATATGTAGAGTAAATAATTATTTACTGATTAAGGAGGGTTAATATTTTAGCACCAAGCTGAGGTGTACATCCTAAGGATGATGTTTATGATGATGACGACGATGATGTCGATGATGTTGACCCTAACAAAAAAATACTATAGTTAACTATAGTATTCTATAGTTAACTATAGTGATAACTTTGACACTATGGAAACTTTGATTTACTATAGTGATAACTTTGACACTTTGATTTACTTTAGTGATAACTTTGACACTTTGATTTACTACAGTGATAACTATGAAAACTTTGATTAACTATAGTGATCACTATGAAAACTTTCATTTACTATGGTGAAAACTTTGATTTACTATAGTGATAACTTTGAAAACTTTGATTCACTATAGGGATCACTATGACACTATAGTGATCACTTTGAAAACTTTGATTTACTATAGTGATAACTTTGACACTTTGATTTACTATAGTTACCTATAGTTAACTATAGTATTTTTTTGTTAGGGGACGACGATAGTGTCGATGACGATGATGTCAATGATGATATTGATGAAGAAGACGTCGATGATGATGTCCGTGAATTAGACGCGCGGGAATCGCTATAGTACCTGTGAATCAACACTGATCCCCAACAAAAGTCTAGGACTACAGCACCGGAGGTTTGGAGGATAGTGTTGAACTGAATTGAGTGAGTTCTCATTTTGATGCAGACAATACTGGCAATATATTTATTGGTTTGAGTCGAGATCGATAATTGAGAACACGTGCTGGTTACAGTTGTTAAAAATCTTTTGATCATTTTTTTTCATTGTAAATAACATTTTGTATGATCATTTGAGTGAGTGTGCGTGTGTGTGATTATGTGATTTATTAGTTTAATTTTTTTTTTGTTTTTTGTAAATAAATTCTTGTTTTTCCTTGAAGAAAGTTATAGTTTTGATTTGAAAAGCTAGCCTAGCTCATTCCACGTTACAGAAACCCACAGTAATATAATGTGCAAGTGCAAAGATATTACAGAATAAGAAAATTCCTGAGTCAAATTTTAAATTGTTAATTGTCGTTTTTGTTGGTAATTAATTATTTAACCTTTGTACAGAAAAGTTTAGTTAGCATCCATGTTTATAATTTAAAAAAAACAAGGTACAGTTTTCTCCACATTAACTGATGAATTCAAAGCACACAAATTGAGCCCATAATTAATATATTGTAGTATAAATACTGCTCCAGTTATTCATATGCTTAAACTATACTAGCAATAAAATAGATACACATCCTTTGTTTAATCTCATCCTTTGTTTAATCTCACTGATTTGATTAACATGTAATTGATACAAATATATATGTAACAAACTCATTCAAGGGATTTCCTGAAAAATAAAAAAAGAGAAAAGTAATTGAGTGGAAGGCCTATAATAAAGATGAAGAAAGAAGATTGACCTTGGTCTTTCATCTTTTATTTCATTTTTTCAAATTCAAAAGTTCTTAAGTTAGGGAAAGTTATCACATAAATTTCATTGCAAACACGGTAGCTCAGTCGGTAGAGCGCCTGCTCCGTGATCAGAAGGTCGTGTGTTCGAATCACGGCCTCGACTGACCTAAGTCGACAAAAAATAGGCAGCAACTGTTCCTTCACCAAGCGCTCGGCACTTTGAAGTGAAGATTGTGGGTCCATCGGATGAGTCCTTAAAAACCGAGGCCTCCTGTCACGGTAGGCCTTGGCACGATAAAGAACCCTCACTGCTCAATGGCCCTGAGTGCCGAGTAAAGTCTACATTTGAAGCTCTTCACCGGTATATGGGTGAAAATTCTCGAACGGGACGTAAAACAACACACAATCAATCAATCAATCATTGCAAACATTAAAGAGAACTAAAGTTTTAATCTGTAAACGATTTAATGTAATATAAAATTCTCTGACCATGACTTTTGCGATTTTGACTTCAAAATCAATAGAGGTAATTTCAAGTTATAGGTACTTATGGCATAAAGTCTATGAAGATAAATACCAGAATCAGCGGCTTAATAATAATAAATAAAATTCCTTTAATCAACGGTGTGAATTATGTATGTTTATTTTGTATAGAGATGATATTCCGTGTTTTGTGGTTGGATATGGAAAAAAAATCGTGTATAGGACAGGATTTATTGATTTTTTCACATATAAAAATGTTAAGAGCGTAACTAGAAAATCGACCTGTTATATAACTCTGACTCCATGACTTTTCCCTGAAAAAAAAAAAAAAACAACAAAAAAACATGGGTTACTTTTCTTAGCAAGTCTAATCTTGAATCTTTAAGTCTTCCTTGAAATTCGTTGTGTACGTTGCAGTCTATCGTGCTTCGTCAAGGTATCTAATGATCGAAGTATTAAGACTCTATTATACATTTTCTTTGGGTAAAGGTAAGATTTTACGGAGTACAAGTCAGTTTACTGTTGTTAGTTGTTGTTGTTGATTTACGATTTAAGAGCAATATTAGAAAAGTTGTGTGATAGTTAACGATGCCCTATAACTAGTGTCATGCTTTATCTAAGAATGTATACTTCCGCGCCTATTATGCTTATATTTCCTGATATTGCAGAGGGGAAATAGATACAAAATTTTATGTAATGTCAAGAAAAAATTGCAGTTAACATGATGATTTTAATTTTTTACGATATCTTTTTGCCTTTGTTAATTGCATTTAAGTTTGAAAAATCGCTGGCAAACAAAAATCACGAAGGAATCTGTGGGAAATCGTAAGTTATTTGCTGTTTTTAATCAATTACTATCATTTATAATAAATGTTTATTGCTAGTTCTGAACTGTAAGATCTCTAACCCGATGAGGATGTTAGAATGTGAAATTATTTTAAATGCTTTTTTGTTTCTTTAATGGTCTCTTTATAGGCCATTTGAATGCTGTAATAATTACTACAGAGAAAAAGACACATGTTTGGGTATGTAAAAATGTACTCAAGTGACACATGCTTTCCATTGCAGTAAGAGAATCGATTTATTCACGACTAATAGAAATTTTTGAAGAGGAACTTACAATCTTTCGTTGTTATTGACGAACTTATTTTATTCGATTTATTTTTCTCATGTATAAGATGCATTATTGAATTGAAATGATGTGTATTACGTTACGAAAATTAATTGATATATGATTTATTATGTAGTAC